ATTGAACTGAAAAAAACGGATACCTAAATAATGCAGCAAATGTTCCTTCTCCCGGGCAGCGTGCGGCGGGATGAGGAGATGTTTTTCACCTTTGTTCCTATGCAGATGCCCAGGCACCCCGCCAAGGAAGCCTGGCCAGCTTTGCTTCAAGCAGGAGCACAGAGCACTGCAAGAAGAAAAATTTTGGATTTATTTGTTGAGAATGGCCAATTTTCTCCCTTCTCTTATGGGTTGCCTCCAAGATCCCCCAAAGCCCCCATGCCTCCTCTAGCAGACGTACCAGCACTGAAGCCATGGGTGCTCTCACATCACCTGGGACGAGCAGATGAGGCTGTTCCCACCACCAAAATCATTAGCCAGGCTGAGAAGCAGCAGCAATGCCCAGGGGGATGAAGGGAAAGGGTCCATCTGTCTTGCTTTTTAGGCTGATTAGGGAAAGTATTTGACTACCTCAGCATGGGAAGATTATTGAGCAATGATTTGAAGGACTCAGGCTGGACAGCCTGGCAGTGTGTATGGAGTGGGGGAAAGAGCTAAAAGGCGAAGAATGCAGTGAAATGGTATTCTCTCCTCCGTCGACCAGGCTTCAAATCCATACCTACACACAGTCTACACACAGGTGAAATGTTATTTTTTCCCTATCACACTTAAATTTTGCACTATTGACCTGCTTAGGTGCCATGCAGCCTCTGGCCCCTGATGCAATCCCTGTCCCCAGGATGAAAGAACAGACCCTGCTCCCTGCCCCTGCTTGGATGGCTCTACACACACCAAATTAGCACGTCCCTGTTGGACTTGCATCCTGATTTCTCTGCAAAACTGACTTCATTTTCTTTATTTACACCTTCTCCACTCCACGAGTCATTTGCAAATATTGCACAGTTTGAACTCCATATTGATTTCTTATTTTATTTACTTCTTCAGGAAAGCGTTGAGAGAGGGTTGTCAAGTCAGATTCATTGCTGAAGAACGAGTACACTATATCACCATTAGCAATGAGCCATGTGCTGAAATCAGAGAAAGACATCCAGCTCATTTATTTTAATTATATTTATTTCCTGTAATTTTTTATTCATTGAGTTCTTTATCAGCTGTTCCATGCTTTTGCCAGGGATCGATTTCAAGCTGCAAATCAGTAATAGTATCAGCCTTATAAATACCTGGCTCGCTCAGTTTGCCCTTTTGAAATCCTGGCAGAACTTCAGCTGTCTTGCAGACTTTTATTGAAATTATTGAAAATTAGAACTGTTTCAAGAGCTTTTTGGCCACGTCTTTTCAATAAATCAGTGAATACACTGGCAGTTGTGGTGTGTATCTTAATGGGAATGTGGATTTTGCCATAGGTGACTTACCCCAATGTCCTCAAGGGGAATGTGATACCATCCCAATTCCCTGGGACGCTGTTCCAGATTGCTCCTGCAACCAGTTCAGGCACAAGAATGGATTGAAGTCTAAATCGGTGACATCTCCCTCTTAAATGAAGCAGCTCAAACCAAGCCTTTGAGGAAAAACAAATGGAAATTAAGGGATCGTGAAGCATTCATGGCCCATCTCTGGCTGCACAGCATCGGCACATATCCCCGAGTCACCTGCTTGATGTGGCTATGCTGAAAACAAGTGTCAGCACTGTGTGGTGGAGGAGGAAGGTGTTAAGCGAATTTGCCACTTAATACATGGGCACTCTTTTGTGACCTTTCTTTCTCTCTAAAAATAAAGGAAATGCAGTAGCCGATTGCCTTGAGAGTTGCTGCTCCTTGGACCTTGACAATATGTATTCAGCGTCACAAGGAGACCTTCAATAGGCGGCATTCAGCAGAGCCCTTATTTGCTCTGGTTATCAAGTCTCCATACTACATGTTCTACGCAGTTCATTGAACCGTCAGAGAGCTGAGGGGAAAATAAATTCATTGTAAGTGGAAGAAAGTTAGTTAAATCTTTTCTGGAATTATTATATTGCCATTGAATGGCATAGAAACTCAATAATAACGGGCAATAATGTTCTTCTGAGAAATTAAATAGAAGCCAAATTTATAATGCTACTTGACGTTTATAGCAGAGTGTTCCACCTTATGCTACTTGATAAACATCGACTAATTAAGCCTCATACGGTCTCAGTGAGGTAGATCTCTTCACATCACTTATTCTGTTTTATAAATGGGAACATGAAGATACAAGACAGAGTCTTTGAAGCTTGAGTTGTCCTCAAACATGGTTTGGATCCCCGGGAACCAACTCAGAATATGCATCTGAATACTGGGAGATTGGTAAAAGGCAGCTGAGCCAGCATTGGAATTTCCTCAGGCCCCTTCGCTGTGCTCTGGTAAGAGCTGCATGGCTTGAGGTGCAAATTCAGTATCACTACTAAAATACCAAGATTTTTCCTGTTTGCTCATACCAGGTTGCTAGACTGATATTTAAAAGCAAAGCCTCTGGTCTTAAATCTCCAGCAGAGCTCAAGAAGAGTTCAAGAAGAGAAATCTCAAGCAAGAGCTGTAGGAACCGGCCCATAAAATAGTTGCAAATTAGACTGAGATTCTGATGAACAAAACTTGTGACCAGCTGGGAGCTATTAGTTACACAAGATGAGGATGGATTGTACCAGATGTGGGTTGTCAAACAAATGTGGATGTGATGTAGGCCAGGACAGTGAGGACCATCCACAACTACAGACAAATCACAACTGTCTGGTGACATAATTCCTTCATGTCTCTTTATAAGGCATATCATGGATAAATATAGGATATAATAAAGGGAAACTTCATCCCAGATACTGAGCTGCAGCAAAAGTAGGAACCTTTACTATTGATTTGAGTTTAATTTATGTCTACTTATACAGCACATAATTTAATTCTGCAGTTTATTCCATGGGCAGAACAAAGATCCCCCACCAAATGAAATAGAAGAAATGACCAGGAATCTATGATATTTGTCAAAGAACAAATAAAAATGGGGACAGACACAATGACCCTAGCTGCCACTGGGGCTTGTGCAGATGTGACATCAGGTGTTAAAATAACGGACTGAAGTCCCCAACCCCTCCAGCTTCCTGGTCAGCTCTTGCCTGACCAGAGTGTTTAAATAAGCAGCATTAGAGTTATTGAAGTGGTTTAAGAATTAAAAAAAAAGACAAGGATAGCAAGGAGATCCTAATGATATAGATGAAGAGTTGTCTAATCAATTAATACAATGCATTTGGGACATTTTTTCCCCCCAACTGCGTTTAGCTTTAAAGTTATTTGTTCTGATTCTGAACTGGAGAAGCTTTTATGTGCTTAAAAGCATAACAGTTTTCAAAAAGGTGTATTTCAGAGGAGTGCTGTTCAGACGAATCAAGCAGCCCATCTGCTCTGAGGCCCTGGCAAGCTGAACCGAAGGGCTGGCAGGACAAGGAAGCATTTTCTCCAACTCATTTTGGGCTGCACAGCCCTTCACACGACGGTAGTAGGGAGCTGTCAGAAAGACCAGCCTTGCGTCGGTGATGGACTGTCCAGAGGAAGCAATGCAACCTTATTAGCTAGGTAAAAAGTGGCTCGGGAGTTTATTAAAATTTCTGATATGTCAGAGATGTCACTGATAGAAGTTTCAGGAACAAAAAAAAAAAAAAAAAACCAAAAACAAACAAAAAAACCCCACCTTCTTACTAGCTGTAGAGAGATTGCCCATGGTTAGCATAAGAGCTGGGCTGGACACTCCAGTTGAGCAGAGTTTGAAAACTGTTCCCATCCCACCCAACTTCTCCTTCAATTAATTATCATTAAAATATTCCTTTCACATGACAACATATGCTGGATAAAATTCTGATTTTCTTGAAGTCACTTTCTCCATTGCCTTCAATAAGGGCAGGACTTTACCTACGATTTCTAATAGACTGTTATAAAGTAGATTTGAAAAAGATCTGGAGGGACATCTTATTCCTCTTCTTGCTTTGAGGCAGAATCAGTGACATCTATATTGCTCACGGTAGATTTTTGTCCAGCTTGTCCTGAAAGAGCTGTAAGGCTTCATAGCACATTGAGATATAAAGATTTCTCCTGTCCCAAGAGATGAGAAGGTAAAGATCTTTTTTTATGGACAATACCAGGATTTTTGACTGGTTTAAAGGATCTGTGACAGCCTTAACATTTGTTGTCTCCTGATCCACTAAGAATAATAATTAATCCTATCCACCATCAGTGAGTTTTCTAGTGATTTCTAGAGGATATTTTTGTTCCCTTCTTGAGATATCTGACATGAAATCATTTCATTCTGATTCTGTCTTTTTCCTCCACATTTCAGTCCCAGCCTGATTTCAGGGCTGCCCCTTAAAAATTGATGTTAAAACTAGTGCTTTTCATTTTAGGAAGGTCTGTCACTCTTACAGTGATGTAAGGTGTGTAATTCTAATTCTAGCAGTGAAATGTTAACTACTATAATTATGTTGGCAAGGTGGAAAGACGGGGAGTAAACTAGCAATAACCAGCCAGGAGGACTGGAGCTTTTGGGAGGGAGAAGAGTGGGAGAGGAGGGAGAGGAAGAATTCAGTCTGGTCTTTGTAGTGAATTATTTCTATGGATTTCTTAGACTTCCAGTACCAAAATTAACTGCATTAACTACACCTTACCTGCAAGCCAGTGTTCCCTGGAACTAAACAGGACCTCTCTTTCGACTTTATTAAGCTTTGAATCATACTTATAAATAGCCCAAAACAATTCTTCATTGATAGTCTGAAATCCACCCTATGCATCTCCCCACAACTACAAGAAATCAATCCCACAACTGCGCAGAACACATTCAAGATTTCAAATTATTTCTCCCGTGAAATGTGGTTTAATCCTCACAATCAAGGAGCACCTGAATATTTCTGACCTCAGCAAGGAAAGGTCCAAAGCAGAGGCCATTGCTGGGCAGGCAGGGAATGAGCAGTGGATTTCCTGGACATTCCTGTGCATTCTGGTGTGAACCATGCATTTGCTTCCACAATAAATGATTAAAAAACAAAACAAAACTTGCTACATGGAATCCAACAGCAAATAGTACAATCCACTGTTGATAAAGCATGTGAGAAAAGGCATTTGGAGTCTGCTCTTCACCCTTACTGAGGGGTTTATGCCCCAAATACAAACATTTGACAGTCTCAACCTGTGAAAGACAAGATAACTTTGGTCTTTTCAACCAAACCATTAAATATCTACTTTTATATACAGTCACAAAGCCCTCTGACATTAAAACATCACAGCTTTGCACGTGGGACAAAGCTGATTAACGCTCTGAGAGAGAAGGCAGCAATGGCCAAAGCAGAGTTTCAAGCACGACTCTTTTCCACAAGACTCCTCTGCTGCATTACTGCCACCCAATGTCCCAAGAATGTCACGCTGACGGTGGGAGGGACACAGTCAGGGTCTGGAAGAAGGTTTCATTGTTGGCCAGAGAAGTCCTTGCATGCTGTTTGCAGAGAAAAATAGCAATCAACCTGGAAGTTGGGACAGCGAGTCTGTGTAGGAACTGGGACTTCTGCTAGGTCTTAGATATGACCCACAGATATAAAGCTTTAGCATCGTCTGTGGCTTTGAACTTCCTCAAGAGGCTGAAAGGATTCATTGAACTTTGAAATCGGGTTCCTGGGGAAGCGAGAACACTTCCCTTCTCCTGCTCAGTGCTGCCTGAAGAACAGGTTCCTGAAGGCATTGTTGTAATTTTTGTTGAAAGCAGTGTAGATCAGTGGATTAAAAAAGGAATTTGAATAGCCCAGCCATAGAAAAATACTCTTCCAAATGGGGGGAATGTCACACGAACAGAGGGGGTTGATGAGCTCCGTGATGAAGAAAGGGATCCAGCAGAGCACGAAGACGCCAATGAGGATGCCCACCATGAGGGCAGCTTTCTTTTCCTTCTGCTCTCTCCACGTGTCTCCATCCGTCTGGAAGGTAACGGTGGCGTGACGGACATTGAAGACCATTTGTGGCTGCTGGGCAGCTTCCTTCACCTGCCAAACACAAGGACAAGTTGTAGTATATGTGCCTTGGCCATCTGATCCCATGAAGCAGGACCACAACTGGATCATGCACAGGATAGCTGGAGTTTGTGGGGAAAGGGGCTCTGTCTACATGACACTGTAATTGATGGGTGATTGATTGCATGCCCTAACTCTCAGCAACAGGATTACTTTGAAGTGAGGATACAAACTACGGACAGTAGTGAAATCTGGTCACACAGAGCTGGTAATGGGTGTCACACTAAGCACACTGATGATTTACAATTGGGTCAGTAGAACAGGCGCACACACTCATGCCATGCAAAAGTGTCCTTGCCTTCTCCGAGAATAGTGAGAAAAAAAGAGTTTTAAACATACAATAGCCCCCAGAAATCCTCACGGTGCACAAACAGTCAACTTGGGGATAAGTTGATGCCATCTAGCCATGATTTAGGATGAATTTATAAGGACATTTGTGTCTTTTGTGTGCGCAGACACAACCTCCTCCAAAATACCGTTGTTCTCCAAGTTATTTCACATAGTTTAGGTGGAATCCCATGCCTCCCTATGCGCCCCCACTTTGGCATGGCTCATTTGCTCATTTGCTATCAGAATTTCTCTGGAGCACAACCCAACTACAACAACGTACCTCAAGGGCTTCTGGGGTGATGGGGGTGATGGAGTTGCTCTTCCGAGACCCAATGCGAAACTTGGCTGCTTTGTAGATCTTCCAGTACACAAAGAGCACCACGCAGAGCGGCAAGTAGAAGGCGCCACAGGTGGAGAAGATGGTGTATGACGGATCCTGGCTGACCTGGCATTCCTCACTGTCCTCCGAGTAGGTCTCTCCCCATCCGAAGAGCAGCGGGGCCAAGGAGATGAAGGCCGAGAGCGCCCAGGTGAGCGCGATCATGATGTTGGAGCTGCGGCGCCGCGTGCGGAGCGTGTACTCCAGGTGCCGGGTGATGGACCAGTAGCGGTCCAGGGCGATGGCCGTGACGTTCCAGATGCTGGCGGTGCAGCACAGCACGTCGAAGGAGATCCACACGTGGCACAGCAAGCGGCCGAGCCGCCAGCGCCGCCCCGACAGCTCTCGCACCAAGCTCAGCGGCATGACGAGCGCTGCCACCATCACGTCCGACACGGCCATGGAGGCCACCAGGTTGTGGGGCACCCGGTGGAAGGCGCGCACGCGCAGGATGGTGGCCAGCACCAGCCCGTTCCAGAGGAACGTGGCCACCACCAGCATGGCCAGGAGCGTGAGCACGAGCACGCCGAGCACGGAGAGCGGCGCGCGGCCGCCGGGCAGGCCCGCCGTGCCCGCGCTGCGGTTGCCGGCGGGCGTCGGGGCGCCGAGGCAGCTCAGGTTGAGCGGCCGCTCCATGCCCGGCCCGCGCTACCGCCCGCGCTCCCGGGGGCTCTCCATGGCGCGCGGGAAGCGGCGGCACCG